GGCACGGGTATGCCATAACCCGCACCCGGCCCAACCCATTACATCCCTATGAATATTCTTTATGCTGAAAAGTTGAAGTGTGAATTCGGTTTGCTATGTGGATCCACACCAACCAGAATAACTTGATTCAGCGAAAGCTAATTGCTTGAGTGCGTTAAATGGAATGAGTTGTTTGGTTTTCTTTCCGTAGATTCTTCACAAATATTAAGATTGTGAAGAGAAATTAATTACAAAGCAGTTGAAGGAGTTAAAAATATTGTTCTGCATTCTGTGCATACTCGAGGTTTTTCTTATCGTGCAGTAAAGTGAATATAGTAAATGCCTGTTGTATTAACTGTTTTACAATTTATCAGTGGGACAAAAAGGATGTCAACCCCGCCAAGAGGAGAAGACAGTCAAAAAGAAAATGGCAGTGAGAAGGAAGGAATGCCGGTGCCCATTGGTTTGGGAGCTAAAATTGAGGGGCAGTATCGGAAAATGAAGGAACATGCGGAGACCTACCCTTATGTGTGGGGTTCTTACATCCTTGTATACGGGGGGCTTGGCCTCTGGTTGACTTACAGGTGGAGAAAGCTCCGGAAAACTGAGGACAGGGTTCGAGTGCTTCAAGATAGGCTCCGCAAACTAGTTGAGGTCGAGCAGCCACCACCGAAATCTGCTACAAAACCTGCCTCATTGCCAGACAAGGCAACTTCGTCTGCTGATAAAAGCTGAAAAACAGTTTGTTTGATCTATTTCAAAATAATCTTTCATTTTGAAGTTGTTAGTTTGGAGAAGCTGCTGATTTCATGTGCAAATGCTTTTTGATGCCACATTTTTTTGGTGAAGATTTAACTTTGTTGTCAGTTAAATTGTTAATTGAGCTTTGTTAAGGCAGTGAGTCGTATGTATAAGTTGTAAGTGACACAAGTCTAGCGATGTGGATTTTCCAGTGGTTACACCTTTTGATTTTGAATATAACTGAAAATTTATTTCATGCTACTGCTGATACTTGAGAGCTTGGAGAGTCGGTTAAGCTTGTGCAAGTTACTCGATTTTGGCATCAATAGTTTCAACTAAAACTACAGTATATATTTCATTTGGATCCTAATCCTCAAAGACGCTTGTTTGAATGTTAATTGGCGTTTCCATTTTGTTTCGCAGAGGTTGATTTTTTGTTTATGTTGTTCAATGCATAAGACATGACTGCACTTAAATTCTACTACTTTGAGGGAATTTTAAGAAATGGTTTTGGAATAGTAAGCATGAGAAGGATTTATGGTTTTAGTAACTTTAGGAAAATGCTACAATTCCGTTATGGAACCATCCCGTTGGGACTTGTAGCCGTTGGATGCACATGCTACACTAATATAAATGTGCATGCATCTAACGGTTACATATCCCAACGAAATGATTCTATAACGGGATTGTAATCTTACCCATAACTTTAAATGTAATGAACTTATCAAACCCTTGGCATACAAGCTTGGAAATAATGTAACTACTTATGGACTTCAAACCCTTAAAACACAAGATGAGAAATGGACAGATTTATGTTATTTCGTCCAAAATGTCTTGCCACCTCGTTATTGCAAACATGGGACAAACTGAGTATTGTAAATAAACAGAATGAACAAGTGCGCTTTGCAACATTATCAGTAATAATAAGAAAATACAATCGTCCAACTTCATCTGTTTCACAATTTTAAACACCGACTGCCTCTTTAATTGGGTTCCCTGACTCGTCATCAGCCTCATTCACAGAGGCTGGCATTTGAATTTGATGCTGCCTAAGTTGCTGTGTTTTCCTTCTGTTGGATTCTAGGATGATTAGGAGGGCCGTAATATCAGCAGGACTAACTCCACCAACTCGACTCGCTTGTCCTATAGTTTGTGGTCTGACCTGCAGATCCAAAGGATTTGATAGTACAGGGATAAGATGGTAAATAATAAGATATCCTGCATAATAATGTATTGGAAGTAGGAGAAAAAGATACTTAGGAGACACAACAAGTTACGCTTCCGTCCTTCAACGTGTAGAAGCATTACATTTGTGCATAGAAGGGAAACGGTAAACAAACCAACCCATTAAGGGAAATCAAAAGGTAAGAAAACATATTATTTTGCTAAAACGAAAATGTCTTAAAGCTGATCGGCGGACGTGTATGCTTTTTTCCAATGACAAATGGTACTTGTATAAACGCACAAAAGGAACAAATGATAAAAAATGGCAATTAAATAAACACACAAGGGAACACGACTGAAAATAATTTTTTTGGAGCATGAGCATATTTGTTTTTCCAGAAAAAGTGGCTTCAGCTCGATAAAATCAGGCAAATACCTTAGACAGCTTTTCACGTGCTTCATGCGATAAAGTTTTCATGGAATAGTAATCAAGGTCATCGGCAAGTCTTTTGTGCTGTTGATGAGCCATCTGCAAATTAAAACAAAAGTCATGACTCGAGACTGTACCAATAAGTCAAAAACCAAAAAAGCAGAATTTTCTCATAATTCAGGAAATTTTCCCTGTCCAGGTATCCAAGCAGAGACACCAAAGGCAGATAGATAGTATAGCATGACACATTATGAAAAATGAAAAAATTAAAAATATCACGTTTACAAGGATGCCCCACGATTGGTGGTTCAGTTACCTACCTGCCGGAGTTGATTTTGCTGTCGCACAATAAATCCCTCATACTTAATATCTATCTCTACACATTCCTTGTCCACCCGAGATAGTAGAGGATTGCCATATCCATGCTTGTCAAATATTTTATACTGCACGTGTGGCTTCTTAAGGAGGCTTTCTAGTGTAGATGATTCCTTGACCGGCTGACGAGAAACCTCACTAACTTCAGAAGCTAGATCACCTCCTGAGAGGAGACACGAGACGCACTTTGGGATTAGGTTGTGCTAACGTAAGAATACAGGCACTGCAATATTTAACATGGCCGCCAGCTACACAACTTTAGGAATATGAACCTTTTCCAGTCATTCAAAACTCGTGCTAGTGTGTGTTCATCATACCAGCATTCACGCAAGTAAATTTTTTCAACTGCAAAAATCTTGTGCATACAGGATTAATTATTGTATCCTCTTTCCATCCCTCCAGTGATCTCATTTCATGGATCATCATACAAGAAGAATTTGACTTATAAATCATGGATAACCAGCTGATGTATACAGCTGGTTAGAAAATGTAAGGGAGAATAAGAGGGGATAGAACAAATTCTCTGGTCACACACAGAATCCAAATTTTATTTTTATAATTGACAGATTTATGAAAGTTAAAATATCTATCAAAGAAAATATGCAGAAATGAAAGCAGAAACATGCTCATTTCTTTCAAGACCTGAAAAGATCAACCTGACACCCTGACTGTCTTCAGTCGCATTTTCTCTTCTAAAATCCTCGCTTGCTTGTCTTGATAGATTTTCCAGCGGACATCATTTATCAAGCCAATTTCACGTCCTAGTGGTGTGAGACGGCTGTCGGCATTATCGGATCGTAAGAGCAGCCGGTGTTCAGAGCGGCTGTAGAAAAGATACAATAACCTGATAATGAGATAATAATTTAAAAGATAAAGTAGCAATGCACGATCCATTCCACAACACAGTTTCTCAAGAACTGAAGGTCCCATTTCCAGTTCAGATTGTCCAATAATAATGCCCTCTCCTGATTCTAAGTTATCGTTCTAAAAGTATTCCAACAATATAAGATGCAACAGTAGATAAGATTTCGCCACTAGTTACAAACAGAAGATAAAAAGTGACGACAAATGTCACATTTCTAGACTTGGCATAAATTCGTTCACAAGGGTGTTGGCAACTGGAGAGCTTACAAGCTCACTGAAAGTGTTGGGTATTTTCATTAAGAAAAAACTACCAAAATCAAGATTGTTAACAGCTTATGGCCGTCCTTTATAAAACAGGGTCACCCAACTGATATTCAATTTTTACTTGAGCAGTATCGTTTAAATTTTACCATCCCAGCATCTAGAAGTTATATAATCATTGCAAACAATTAAAACAACTCTGTTCCAAACTAATTAGACATCTGATAAGCTCACAAGAGTAGGACTTCATAAGACCTTTAGAACGAACTCAAGGGGCTACCCTCCAAACCAATATCACCAAATGTCTTATGTACACCTACTACGTATAATGTAATTCTTGAAAACATCAATTAGACACCAGTATTTGATACTTTTGTTAAATAATATAAACAATGAAAAGTGTAAAAGAGGAGTTATAACCCCAAGTACCTTGTTAACATCCGATAAGGCTCCCTGAGGTCCTTCGTTACCAGATCATCAATCAAAGTCCCGATATAACTGCTTTCCCTCTCCAAAACAATTAAGGATTTACCATCTGAATATCTAGCAGCATTTATTCCAGAAAGAATGCCCTGTCAGATGGGGATAATGGAAAAGAATTAACCCATTACCTTAGATGACAGATGGTGGTGGAATCAATGACGATACAATAAAAAATAGTGAAATTTGTATAAGCACAAAACCTGAGCAGCAGCTTCTTCGTAGCCAGTTGTTCCGTTAATTTGACCAGAGAAAAACAATCCTTCAATTTTCTTCGTCATAAGCGACCTAAAACACTGATGTGCTGGAAGGTAATCATACTCCACAGCATATGCAGGCCTAAGCATTGAACAATTCTCTAGTCCAGGTAAAGTTCTCAAGAGTGGCAGCTGGAGCTTCTCCGGTAAGCCCGTTGAGAATCCCTGAAAGGTAGCAGCCAGTAGTGGTTTCTGATGATTAAAATTTCTGCTTGTGTGCTATCCTTAACAGTAGCTATGCAAGTACTAACAACATTCAATTCATTAAGTTTGTATATTCTCAAATGAACTGGTCACGGAAAGGAATCTGCATGTTCAAGTCGGATGGATTTATCAGTTGCAAACATGGGATGAGAGCTGTGTTTTTGTCGAGGGGGTGGGGGGTAACTAGAATATGAAAATTTAAGACCTTATCTTTTTGGCAATTTTAACCAAACTTTTGAATATAAGCAAACAAAGGCATAACCTTGTCTATATATTGCAACTCAAACTCTAAACTCGTCGGCGGTGATATTTTTGCCAGCGTGTCCGGTTATGGCTCCTACGTGGTCAAATTTTCTAGCTGACATGGTATTTACTTAATGACGTCGTAAAAATGAACACACACATTGAAAATGTCGTCTTCTTCCACAGAAATCCCCAAATTCATTTTTTAACCCTAGTCCTAAAATAGGGATATTTAAATTCCCAGATTGATCTGAGTCCTGAAACATCTCCGTGGATATCAAATCTTCGTCGCCCACTGCCTGCTGCTTCGACACGGGCAGCCCCCACCGGGAAAAGCCTGGCCTGGTTCTGATGCTGATGCTGCCTTGCCTTCTTGAGCCATTCCTATTTCATAAATACTCTTCGATTTCATTCTTTTCCTTTTTAATTCTTCTACAACGTGATATGTAAATACCATGTCAGCCAGAAAATTTGTTCATGTAAGAACCATAGTCGCACACGCTGGCAAAACATCAACGCCGACGGAAATTGAGTTCGGGTTGCAATATATAGACTAGGTTATGCCTTTGTTTTCTAATATTCAAAAGTTTGGTTAAAATCGTCAAAAAGTGTAAGGTGGTGACATTACCGGCAATTAGGCCAAGACTTAACTAAGTGAAAAGAAGAACAAGAGGAAAGTTAATATACTTTCCATGCAATATTATTATAATCACACACACCCTTCTTACCAGTTAAAACACTGCTCCTTTATTTGCAATTAAAACAATCCACCTCTCAAAACAACACACTCATATAAATTTGAGCAGCTCTGGGGCACATTAAGGAGAAAGACAAAAATGCATTCACACCTGGTTGTGCCCAGTTAATCTATAGGGGAGAATATAATTACTTTCCCAGTAGATTAAAAGAACAATAAACAATCGTGCCACTAGAGAATAGTTAAGCTCCACAAACCTGCACATAGAGTTCTGGCACTGTGCGGCCCTCGGGTTCCAGAAATATTTGATGCGACTCTTTCTCTTGAAATCTAACAATCTTGAGATAGATACCACGAACATATTGGAAAGTGACAAAAGAAAGGAGTTTGGTGAGCACATCAGAATCTCAAAAGTAGTTAATATTCGCCGCAGAGGGAAAATTATTTGTTCCAACTTGTACTATGCAAGGTTTGACTTTTGCAACCTGTTACTTTCTTTTTTTTTTGGGTAAAATGCAACATATACTACGCAAATTATGTATCACAATATATGGGAGGAAAATACAAGGAAATTCTCTGGAAAATAAACGAAAATCTTATTGGAAAAATGAAAAACATGACGAAAATATACGACATGGGGCTTACGAGGCACAATGGCAAATAAGGTGTATGTTCAATTATGCAGGAGATTTGTGGAAGTGACCGCAAATGTACGAAAATGCGGCGAATATCGTGGTGGTGACCGGAATAGAGAACTCGTACGAGGAAACCAATTAATATAGTGCTTTTGTACAGAATGGATAGTGAAATAGTATATCATATGTTTGTGATTCTGGCAAAGGGAAGGTGCCAGAATCAGGTTTTCCGATGCATTTTCTGGTCAGAGGTTGCGAAAAATAAATGCCGTGTAGTATATGTCTCATTTTACCAAAGACATAGTTTAGGTTGCAAAAGTCAAAAACTATAAAAAATGATAATTTTTCCTTCTACAGAAGCATATTTCTTTTCAGAGGCTGCGTACTGAAGATTTTGTGTGAGGGAAAAGTAAATTGGCAAGAAAGCACATTTAGTCCACATCCCGAACCTTGTCCTCAATGGAGGGGCAGTACCGAGGTCCCTTAGATTCTACCCATCCTCCATAAGTAGGGGTCTCATGCAAGTTGTCTTTGATTAACTGATGAGTCTTCTTTGTAGTACGTGTGAGATAGCAGCACATTTGTTCTCTCTCAATATGGTACTCAGGATCATAGCTAAACCAGCCTATCTGTTGATAATCATATAAAATTTTTATATCGTGCTCCAGAATTTCTGATGCAATCATATAGGACCATGAAAGAAAACAGGGTTCCAATAAGTGAAAGAACATGGTAAAACTCAGAACAGCAATTACATTCAGAAGACAATAAGCAGCTCTTACACAGCTTCAGGAAGACTTTCACAGCCTAACATAAGGTGAAAATCCATATATATATGCAGGTGTTAGGATAGGTAATTGATGATGACTATCTTTTGGGCAAGATTCATCAAAACAAGCAAATAAAATCTTTCAAGAAAAAGTTGGTCTAAATTCATGTCTTGATCTCTAATATAAGGAACACACTGGATCGGGTTTTCATATCATACGGTGAACCAAAAAAAGACATTTAACCATTTAATAAAAACTGTGTATCATTGACTTGCTGCTGGGCCTACATAGGAGAAGTGAAATAACCTCTTCATCTCCATGTTGAGGCTCTAATCCAGAGAACTCTACTGTACGACAATCTACGCGAGCCGGGGTTCCTGTTTTCAGCCGGTCTGTCTCAAATCCAAACTGCTGCAAATTTTCGGTGAGGCCATGTGAAGCTGATTCACCAGCTCTTCCAGCAGGCATAGAGGTTTTGCCAACCCAAATTTTCCCACTCATGAAGGTGCCGGTAGTCAGAACTACAGAAGGTGCATAGAACTTCATGCCAAAGAATGTATGAACTCCTTCCACATTGTCATTCTTGCCAACCAAAATATCCGTAACCATAGCTTCTCTAATTGACAAGTTAGGTGTACTGGTAACAGGAAAAGCAGTTTGGAATGACATCAGCAGATAACAAATAAGGTAACAACCAAGTTCAAATAAAGGAGTAAAATGCAGGTATACATTCATGCAAAAAAAATGGCCTGTATTTAAGTATACTTATGAGGCCAAGCCTGGGCCATATACATCTTTATGGGTGGATTTTTTGTCCCTATTACTGATCCAGGCAACATCTACTAGTCTACATTTAGATAAACTTTATGAAGCCTTCTCACAACTCCAAATACAGGTACCATAAGTATAGGTTACGCTACATAGATCCTATACAAAACCAGCAGCTTCATAAAATGCTTCACAAATTGAGCAGCAAACAACCCAAAACAAACCATAAACTTCTGCTGGTCATTGATTCCTAGCAGAGTAAATAATGATATTCTCTCTTCCAAGAGCTAAAGTGTCGTAAATCTTCACTACCGCAAAATTATATGATATTCTCATTCGTGTCCTACAATAGGAAACAGATGTTGGAGGCACAACCAACTATATGAACTCAAACAGTCCAATTAAGGTTTAATTTGCAGTTTTGCACGAAAATGCACTTCATAATAAACGATCCAAACATCCTTTGTGCCACATGAATTTGCAGTGTTAATATGCACAACTAAACTGGTAGATGTTTCTTGATATAATGAGCACTCTACAAACATCTGGAATATTGATAGAAGTCATTTAGAGTTTAGAACGACCTGATCATAAAAGTTGCAATAACTACTAAATTCCACCATATGAGATTTAGAAATTATGTCATGGAAACATAGTAATAGAGCAAAGATATTCAAGCTGAAGTGGAAATATTCCACTCATTGTATTCAGCAGACATCCCTTACTGCATATCATTGTAGTTCATCTAAGGAAACATCAGACTATATTGAACCATTCATAAGACATATCATCTTAATGAAGCACCGCATGCAGAAACTAAATTAACATGCACAATATAGAATTTGGTGTAGTCACAATTATTAATCTCACTTTCAGAATGCTTATCAAACGGCAAACAAATGAAAAGTTTTAGTACATGAATAAATAACTTGCCTTTCAACAATTTTCTTCATTTCTAATGCATATTCCCTTTTATCAGTCTGAGCTCGCAATGCCCTGACAGCAGGGCCTCGTGAGACATTTAAAACTCTCTTCTGCAAGTAGCATCTGGAAGTATGAATCCACTCATTTTCAGGACAACTTAAATAAAAAGAAGAGCAAGAAACATAAAAAATCTATCAATTAGAAAGCTCTGAGTGTCAAATTCAATATTTATACAAACCAGAGTCCCTGAACACCAAAACTAACACATCTTATACCATAGCGAAGCGAATCTTTCAGTTATTTTCATTTGATGTCCTTCTACTTTGGGACTGTTGACAAGTCGACGATTTTACAGAATACGCAGTTTGATCCCCAAAATTAGACCAGTGCTTCTCCATAATTTAACTACTCAATAAACTATTCATTGCTCATGTATTTGTGATTCTGGAATAATGCTTTCCGTATGTGCTGCTCAACCCACAGTAATAAATCTAGAATGTCCTGTTCCTCATTAAATTTCTGAGATTAATTTTTCACATGGGAGCTTCTTAAACCACACAGAAAAACACCTGCTTCTTAAACCACACAGAAAAACATCTTTACCCTAGCAGATTTGATAAAGTAACATAAAGACTAGGAATATTGCAAACAGAGGATGAAACAAGGAGCGCAATAGTTTGCTCATCACTTCCTCTACCAAATAATCAAGAAAAAAAAATCCATAACCCTTTACAAGAAAAAACAAGGACACAGCTAGAGCAACACGCTGAAATGAGTGCTGTGGATGACTGGATGTAATGGGAATAATACCTATTCAGTTGGACAAGCAACCTGACTCAATAATAGTGTCAAGACACAACAAAAGCATTATGGTTTACTGAGAATATGATGCAATGATTACAGTACATTTAATGTCAAAGCCATGCAATATTAGTGCCAACAGAGTTTCTAAGATTTTTTATTCTGTTTTACCTATCGGCTACTTTTCCAATTTCACCACCAAGTGCGTCCACTTCATGTACAAGTTGAGACTTCGCAGGCCCACCGACAGCAGGATTGCAGGGCTGTATTGATCTCCACTTAGTAAAGACAGTATATGCAAATTTAAAAGAAAAGTCCCTTGACAAGAAAACCACAACATGTGCTAAATCGCATACGATCAGCTCTATATGAAATTAGTGCAATTTTGTTGAAAAGTTATACATATGCTATCCTAAGGTCAATTTTGTAAACATATTTTCTGCACTTGTTTATATACCTTGATAAAAGAACTCCTTCAAAACTAGGACATACAACCTTACATTCAATTAACAGACCTGCCATGCAATGCGATCAATGTTAAGTGTGAGAAGAAGTGTCTTTGCTCCAAGACGAGCAGATGCAAGGGCAGCTTCACATCCTGCATGCCCACCGCCAACAACAATCACATCATATTTATCATCTGACGCATCCCTCTGATTATTTAAACCTACATAACAAACCAGAATCCAGATAGATAAATCTTTATCAGCCTGATCAAATCCCTATAATGCAAGGCCTCAACCGAACATTATTTTAGTAAATAAAGTCTGAAAGTGAGAACCTTTAAATGTCTGTATTATTTAAACATTCATGTACAAGGGATGAAACACGAAACGGCACAGATATTAATCTTGATGCATATTACTAATCACAGCAAGTCAATTTGATTAAACTTAAAATTGGAATCTCTGTATTATTTAAACATTCATGTACAAGGGATGAAACACGAAACGGCACAGATATTAATCTCGATGCAGATTACTAATCACAGCAAGTCAATTTGATTAAACTTATAATTGGAATCTTGCCAACAAAAAATTTATCACTAGCAAAAAATATCATTAGAACTCTTCAGAGCTATATAGTGGCAGATTCATATTTATAAAGAGACACAAGATTTCAGCAGAACAATACAAACAGTAAACAGCCATTCAGCAAGCATTTCTCCGTCAAATTTGAACAATATATAAATTTCCAATGGAAAAAAGGAAAATAAAGAAAGAAAGAAGAAACAGAATGGAAACTTAGTAGGGGCTTTCCATTCTCACATCATGTTCAGTTTGTTGGCAACTACGCAACCACTGTTTGCGGGAAGAAAGAATAAAAACTGAAACAGATGACAGAAAAACATAAAATGGGCCGAATTCAGCTCGATGAACTGCCAGTTTGAGCAACAGCAGACCTTCATAAGCAGAGGCCAGAGCACAAAACCCGCGACGTCGGGAGAGGTAAGGAGAGCCGGACAAAGCGCGGTCCAAGTGGAAACGCGGCCTAATGCGACGACTGAGCGACTGAGGGCACCTTCTAGCAAATAAACGAGGGGCAAAGCGCGAGTGAAGTGGAATTTGCGAGGCAAATCGAGCGACATGAATGGACAGAGCTGTTGTGGTCATTTTTCCGGGTCTCTCTGCGTTTCAGGGTAATTGAGTCGCAGCTGCCATGGCAGGCCCGTGAGCTAAACACGGTGGCAATTGGGTTGGGTTTATGATTAGCTTCTTTATCACCATACCCCTACCTCCCCCATTTATATAGGGTGTTATTACTAAACACAGTCTCTAGGCCATTTTGCTCTTAACATTTTTTCAACCCAAAAAAA